TATATATGTTTAAAATATTTGAACATTTAAAAAACATATACATTAGCTATATTATGTATTTTATATGCAGCCCATGACAATTGCTCTTCACTCAGTGTGACTCAGACAAGCCCCCCAAAAAAAGGTTAGACACTCAGACTAGGGTGCAGTTAGTGTTTACTCTAATAAATTTATTTTTTTTTTTTTGAGATAGGGTCTCACTATGTAGTTCAGGCTGGCCTTGACTCACTATGTAGCCTAGGCTGGCCTGGAACTTGTGATACTCCTGCCTCAGCCTCCCGAGTGCTGGGCATGGGGCACCACACCCAGCTCTAATTTATTGAATGCTGTAATTTACTCTACTGCAGACCAAAAATCAAGGTATTTCTTAGAGGACAGAACTAGGCTGAAGCAGGGGTAGAATTTGGAGAACAGGAAGAAGCAGATGGAAATATGTGGCTAATAGAGTTACCATGTATGCCAGGCACAGATTGGTAATTTTCAAAGAATTGTGATACAAATATTTACTAGTTATAAGAAAGTGCTGGGCACTGAGGTGCACACTTGTAATCCCAGCTATTCAGGCTAGGTCAGGAGGAACATAAATTTAAGGCCAGCTTCGGAAATTTAGACCATCTCCAAAAATAAAAAGGGGCAGGCTATGATGGCACAGGCCTGTAATCCCGGCACTAGGGAGGCTGAAGCAGGACAATCTTTGAGTTTGAGGCCAGCCTGGGCTATACAGTGAGTTCAAAGCCAGCGTAAACTACACAGCGAGACCCTGTCTCAAAGGGTTCAGGTATAGCTCAGTGGTAGAGCACCTACTGGTTTTAGTATTGAGAAAAATTAAAAATTTCTTTTGTTCTTAGACTGGTAATTTGCATACTTTTTGTTTTTCAGTACTGGGGATTGAACCCAGGGAGAGCCAAGCTACATCCCCAGCCCTCTTTTTTTTTAAGTTTTGAGAAATGGTCTTGCTAAGTTACCTAGGCTAGCCATGAACTTGGCCTCCTCCTGAGTTCCAGCCACTGAGTTACTGGCTCCTCCCTGTTGGCATTTGCCAAACAATCCCCTTTCTCTTAGTAGTATGACTACTAGTCACTCACTGTCATAAGACCTACTTTCCAATTTTAGTATATGTGCTGCCGAAGCGAGCACTATAAGACCTACTTTCCTTTGTTTCAGCCATCTGATTTCTTTCTCTACATGACTTACCTTGCCAGTTATATCACACTGCTAAATCTAGTACCTTCTGTTGACCACAGGATCCAGAAATCCTCTGATTTCCCACAGATCTCCCCAAGCAGTGTGGTCTGACAGGAAACAGAACAAGAAAACATTGTATAGTTCAGCTTTCCATTTCTTAGCTGTGTGTGTTTTTTGACAAGTCACCTAATCTTTCAGAAGGTTTCCTAGTCTGTAAAATTGGGTCATAAGACTGATTTTAAGGGTTGCAGTGCTCATAAAAAGAGATAAAATGGGCAAAGTGCATGACTCAGAGCCTGGTGGAAGGAGTTTAGCAAGTATTGATATTCCATCCTAGTCCCCAGAGTGTCTAGACAGAATTCACCCTTGTGCCTTTTACTTTAAAATCTTTTGGGAACAGCCTCCACATTAAATAAATACACCAGCAAAACAATGAAATGCAGACTCTTTTTCTGTGTGTCTGGTACTAGGGAATGAGCTCAAGACGTTTGCACTGAGTTCATCCCCTGCCCTTTAAAAAAATTTTTTTGAAGCAAAACATTTATTGGTAATTTTATTTATTTTGTTTAAGAAAAGATTTACTAATGTGTTAATATTTCAGCAAAGTTATTGCAATGGGTTTAAAAGGCAGACAGACACGCTATTATAGGCTATAAAGGAATAAAGGAATAAATATTACGCAGACCTATGAGATTTACTGAATAGCTACCAGATCCAGAAAAGAAATTAAATCTGAAAGATTAAATCTGGTATTAGCACCTACAATATCTCTGAAAACGGAACTTTTAAGTGCTTTATTTTTTCCTAATATATTTCTTAACTTTCTCTCAAATACAGTGTTCTCAAGCCCCCAAAAGAATTTTGTTTTAAGACCCCAAAAGAATGAAGGGCATCAGAAACCCAACACTAAGAGCATACAGACAGGGCCAGGGATTTAGCTCAGTGGTTCCTGCCTTGAAAGCA